CAGCAAAGACGAGTGGAAATTGGACACTTAAAAGACCCGAAGGGGGCTTCAGCGCTCTCTGCAGTATAAATTAAACCCTTGTTTGAAACCAACCTTGAACAGCTGGTGATCAATAATGATATATATCATAGAGCATGTGGTGTGAGTTAGTGCCCCTGCAGTGATGTGAGGCTAGTGTGAAGGAAATACTACAGGTCGAGGAAGGTGGACACACGTTAGTGTACATTCTCGATTGAAGTGATGTCGACTTTAGTTATTGTATGTTTTTTTGTTTTTTTCAATCATCAGGTACAGACCTCATTAAAGGCTTTATATGTGATTTTTTGATCCAGCAGATGTCGCCCTTGAGCACCAGCATTAAACCAAAACAACTCGTGCTGCATTGTTGTGTTAGCATGCTAATGCTAGCGATCTTTATTATGCTGGTATCTTCACACTGCATGTAAATTTACCTGAAATGAGCGTGATCTAGAAACACAGTTAAGCAGTGAGTACAGTATGTTATTCTTCTTTTCTCTAGTCCCTCAATTAAACAACTTTTATACACGAGGGGAGGAGTCAGCCGGCCGTCCTGGCGATGTAAACAAAGTGAAGATAGGACTCTGAAAACTCTGAAAACATCACAGACAGTGGGACTCGGGTGTTACACCCATTGTAGACAGTCATGACTCACAGAGTTATTTTCAGAGGATATTCTTGATTTCTACATTTAAGTGTGAAAAATCACATAGAAAGACTTTAATGTACCTAGAAAAACAACTCATCGAGATGAAGGTGCACGTAGTCACTATTACCCTTCTATTGAACAAACTGCCTCCTGAGTCTGCTGAGAACTTTATGTCAAGCAGTCCTTTAAACATTTCTTTTCTCCGATGGATTTGGCCTTCATGTTGCTTTTTGTGTGTTTATGTGTGACTGTACTTAAAGGAAGCATGAGCGACTTGTTTCCCTTGAGCACCAGCGTGAAATTAAAACAAACTGCTGTTTAGCCTCACCTCCACCATACTGAAGCCTCCACTCTCCTCCAGCGACACACCTCCAACCCCCCTAATCCTCGCTTTCGCACAAAAGGAGTCAAGTTCAAAGGGCGGACAAAATTGTCCTTGAATCAAGCTGCAAATGCCTGAGTCCTGCATTGTTGTGTTAATGGTTATGTTAGCACTCTTTAATTAGCTGGTAGCTTCACATTGCATGAATATTTATACGGAATGACCGTGATCTAAAAACGCTCAAGTGAGTATATTATTCTTCTTTTCTCTAGTTCAAAAAAACAGGCAAGGAGAGGAGCAGGCTGTCTCGTCTTCTGTATGTAAACATGGCCTCAACAACAACACAGCCAGCGGGACTCGTGCTTCTCATTCATTGTAGACAGTCGTGGGTTTCTGTAGTAAAAAAAACATCTTCCTTTATTCTTTTTTGCATTTGAAGGATAGGATTTAAAAGTTGTATTTATTATATGACTTTTGCTCTGCCATCCTCAAGGTTGCTGAATCTCATGAATTCAGTCTGATGTGCTGTTCCAAAGCTTCCAACCGGAGTACTTTGCATTTGTGAATTCAGTGTCTGGATTTTCTTGCCAAATCCTGCAAATAAATAAAAAGCTTGCAGGTGTCACAAAAGAAACGTTTGTATATGTCCGCTGGTGCCAGGTGCCCAACTGACTCAGTGAACAGCACTGAGATAACAACTGCCTCCAGCATGCACAGCCATGCTGAGTAAAGCCCTGCGTACAAAAGCCTCGCACAAACCGCTCAATACAGGAGCCCAGAGGGACAACAAAGTCAAAATATGCGCATGCTGATTTCAAAAACCCAGTATGACACATAGTAGCATATTTTATTTTTTCAAATATATTAATTCCGTTCTGTTTATCTGTGAGGGCAAATAAAAAGCCGCAGGTGCAAAAACCAGAAGCAAAAAAAACGTCAATGCAACAAAAAAAAGATAAGAAACTGAAAGAAAAAAAAGTCATTTGTGAAAGAAATGTGATAAAAACCAAATAAATACAACGTGGTAAGGCTTCAGCTGTTCCATGAGGAAAGCCAAAATGAGAACTATCTGTGGTGTTTGTTTGATTATCTTTGCGTCAGTGTCAAGTTGTGTGTTCAGTATTGCATATGGGCTTAGCAAGAGGACTGAATAGTCATTTTTAATCAGTCCCATACAGAAGCCTGTAGAGAAGCAGCTTTGCAGTATAGTCACTACATTCAGTGGAGTACCAAATATATACGGTCACCTTGATTGGTCATTGCAGTGTTCAAATCATTTGACAACTCAAGCAATGTAAGTATTATCTTTTATCAATGAATCAAAGGAGCAACATGTAGGTCTGACATGTAGCGTTAAAAAATGGGTACTGCAGTCCAAATTCAAAACATTGGAGAGATGTCTCCATCCTCCCTAGAGTCCATGTGCTTGTTGCCATGTTCCAGACACAGAAGCTTCAGTGTTTAGCCACTTTTCTGTTCTTGGAGCTTATTAGAAAATGCTGAGGCTTTTTAGGTTCAGGTAGAATCAGTTATATCTGCCTGCCCACCATTGCTGCAACACCGCTTGATCTGCAGTTTGCCTGGCGTCCACAACGGCCATTGGGGGTTCCTTAACCCTAACCCTACCTCCTTTGGTCAAAACAAACTACTCTCTGCAGTGGAATCAAAACTTAGGAGGAGGACATAATGGCTGCTACGTTGTTGTAAGAAGAAGCCAGCACTTCATCAAATCATGTTTCCTCTAATGTCTGATGATCTTTTTAAAGTGTAAATCTTTCATCAAAATCACAGTTTGATGTGAAATAATGTACAAAGCACTAACCTACACAGACTATAGTGCAACAACAGGAACAGCTGCTATCAAACTGAAGACCTGACATGGAAAAAAGCCTTAGTACTTATATGTGGAATACTTTTTTCATGTTCTTTTTCAAAAACTAGAAAAAATCTCTTTTGCAAGTACAATGCTCATAAGTTGCTACTGAAAATATTAATCTTTTAAAACAGAAAACAGATACTTTTTTATAGTTTTACGATGGTTTCCAAGTAGAATGGTTTCTGTAAGACCCCAAAAATCATCAAATTAAAGGAATAGCTTCACAATATTAAGATCTAATCAAAGGTTATATTATGTAAAAATGTTTTAAGCCCTTCACATGTAGGCATTAGTGATCTGTACAAGCCTCTGAGCTTACGTCTAGATTGTCATGTGAAGCTCCTTTTAAACACTTAAAGGAAGTCTTTTGGTCTTTTGGGATAAACAAAAAGCAAACATACACATGCACAAGAATCGACAACTCATTGTTTTTATCATCAAATTCCTCCGAATGTTATCAGAAGTATGCATTGAGCGTGTTTGCATTGAATTTCTTCCTCTATCTGTCACAGCCCCCTCTGGGTGTCCAGATTTAACAACATGTGACACTTCTGGGAAAGCCCTGGCCTGCTCTCTTTGTCTTCTGTGTGAAAAAAAGACAAAGAGATGAAGTAAAAATCTAAAAAATAGATGTCTTATCCATCAGTGACATTTCCTGTAACAAAGGTTTGATTGACAAAAGATGAAGTTCCCCAGGTTGTTCGGATGTGGGGAAAAAAAAACTCTGGTTATTTCTTTAGACGAGATACCTGTGGGAGGTCATTAACAGCATGATGCAGGAATTTCTGAATCTGACAGCTAACCCTGCTCAGTGGAACATTTCACATTTGGCTGGAAAAAAGGTAGGAATACAAAGTAGACTGAAAGCTTGACTGATGTATTTTTTTTGTTCTTGGCCAGTTAAATATTTAAGCAGACACATCCAAAAACATTTGCCATTAGATAACAGAAATTCAAGCACAGAAATGCCAAAACGAGTTACAAACTTTGTCCACTAGAGGGCAGTGATAAGCTAACTTTTTAATCACTTTTTTGTGTGGACAGAAAGCTAACCTGTGACATGTCCCTGTGACATCATGTCTGTCCATGGCAGCTGTTTCATAATGATGCACCAGCATCAAACATATATGCAGTCTACTATATCTCTATAGTTTTTAAGTCTGACATCACAATGGCCTTTGCACATGCTGAGACCTCCAGACAAAGGGTCTCCCCAGGAATGACATTATTTCCACAAATGAGTGTTTACAACTTTAAATCATGTGAGTCATGCCAGTGAAGTCATTAAACAGATGTTGCGGTGAGACACCATGCTCTCACTCCACACATCAGTCCTCACAGTCATCTGTGTGCTGCAACATGGAATGTCAGCCTTTTGAATGTAATCTATAGGGTTCCTTTTTTTTTTTTAGTTCCCGTAGTACAATAATAATAATAGGCTAATACATTTATCTATATGGCACCTTGCAAAAGTGCTTTACACCCCCAGATAAAACACTGCACACAGTCAGGGTAATATAACATAAAAATATTGAGCGTATGGGGTCAGAGCTGTTCATAGAGCAAGATAAAGTACTAAGGTTATATGGACCAATTCAAATTAAACAATTGCCAGTTAAACCAGTAAGCTCTTTAAATAATATAACAATAAAAGAATGTGGACAGTAAAAGGAGGTGAAATAAAAAATAATTAAAAAAGCATACTATGAACAGATTTACTCTAAAAAAGGCCACTATATGTAGCCTAAATGTAGGTTTTAAGGAGTGATTTAAAAGAAGGCAGGTATTGTTTAGATATCATTAGTTCTTAAGGTATGTGATGATTTGTAGCCCTGATGCTTTATATGACTTGTATTAATAGTTTGGGTCATTTGGTCACTTCTGAAAATGTTGAACGAAAATTTGTAGTACATGATAAACCAACATTTGAAGCACAGATTTCAGTATGTAAAAGTACATTGAAGTCAATTTTTGTGATGTTGGTTTCCAAAAAATGTGTTGTTCTTGTTGTCTAGGCTACTTTCTTTGGCTGGTATAGCCTACCTGAAATTATTTTCTCAAACATATACCAGTAGCAGGTGTGTTTCTGCTCAGGCATTTTGCAAAGTAAGTCGGGAATACACTGATGGTCTTACCGAAGCAGGAGTTGATGAAGCCGTACCAGCTGCAGCCGCTGCGCCCCAGCAGCCACTTCCCGCGGACACTGGAGGCGAAGCTGAGCGTGGTGCCGAACAAACACACCAGCATGTCGCTCACGCTGATGTTCAGCAGCAGCATGTTCACCGGCGTCCGCAGCTTCTTGAATTTGCAGAACAGCAGCAGCACGACAAAGTTGTTGAGGAAGCCGAAAGTCATGATAAAGCCCAGCACCACGGACAGCGCCACGAAGCCCGCCGGGGAGAGCTTCCCTCTGCCCGCAGGTGCGTCCTCCAGATCCTGGTCATCGCTCAGGTTGAAGCTGTAATTCAGACCAGCCTGACCAGAAAACATCCTGCTGTCCATTCATCGGAGCTTGTGTCCACTCTGAAGCGGCTTTTTGCTAGTTTTGACTTTTCACCGCGCTCCTCTGGAAAGTTTATGAATTGCAGTTTGTCTCCTTGCTGCTTTTCCTCTGGGACATCAGAACAGAGCACTTCATCTTTTCAAAACGCATATCCACTGATATAAAAAAAAACATTCAGCTAGAAAGCTGACGCGGAAGCAAGAGCAAAAAAATAAAAAATAAAAAGGCTGTAAAAGCAAATAGGAAAAGTGCCACCTGTTTGTTCCCTGAACGCACGTTTACTTATTTAAATTCAGCGCATTTCAGCTTCTTGTGACGCCATGATATCTTGGGATAACTACCATCAATCGCAACATTTTTACACAAGAATCTAGCTTCTCCTCCCTGCTCTGTTCTTCTTCTTTTTTTTACGTGTGGGGAGACTGTCATCTAGAAATCCCCAGTTTTCATTTCATTGTAATCCGCGCTCACAGTGGACGCTCCGGCTACATGGACAGTGATGTGTAAAGTGCGCGCTGCTCCGCTATTCAGCATCTTATAAAGGCGACTCTTACGTCACAAGATACTGGGATGACAGGGGCCAAGGGGGAGGGGGGGGGGGGCGTTTGTGTGTCTATGTGTAGCCTATAATGTGTGTGTGTTCTTTTAATTCTGTCTTTATTTATGGTTCCATAAGTCACTTTTTTCCCTCCCTTCCTTTTTTTTTCTGTTTCTGACAGCAGGATGGTTATTTGACAGATGAATGCTGATTGTACATTGCAGACTTCTGGGAAGGGTCATCACAGCACATTAATAATCCAGAACAGAGATACTCAAGTTACTTTGCCCAGGGGGCCCCTTTTGACGAAATGACAGGAGGCCAGCTGGGGCGAGTAATTACACAAAAAAATAACAAATAATAATAATATGTGAAAATGAATGAATCTTAATATGCTCCAAACATATCCTTCTCTAAAATATATTAATATTATTTACGCTCAGGTTTCCAAGTATCTTACATTCTCAACATAGCGCTTTGTGGAGATGGTTGTCCACCAATGAGGTTCTGTTCGAGGTTTCTGCTTTTTAAAATATCTATTATTTAGTCTCTGTTGCCAACTGCTTCATAAATGAATGATTGGTCTATGATGATGATTGGTAATTCTGTCCATACATGCTCTTTATGTCAAGTGGCATCTACCTATGAGCTAACCTTTGTTGGGATTTGGTTCTGAATACACAGAAATTATAATAATTTGTAATTTTATCGAAAGTTAGATTGTTGGGATAGACTTACTATCCCAACAATCTGGGGAAAGTTGAGCTAAAGAAACGTTTACTTTTTTTATGCGTCTTTTTTTTTTCTTTAAGAAACAACCGGAAATGAGATCAGATGTTTGTATCACACATCTGTTTCATCTCCCTTGCCTCAAGGACAACATGTGTGAACCAACATATGTTCACTGAAATGTCACAGCTTCTGCAGACACTCCTGCAGCTTCCAAGATAACGCCGAGGGACATACATACATCTATACTGAACATTAACTGACTGTTGGAAATACAAATTGTATAAAGGGAATTAACTTGTGAACATGCAAATTAAAAAAAATAAATTGGCATGCCTCCTGGAACCGTGTCGGGCCGGAGGCACATTTACAAACCTGCATATTAAAAACAACTTAAATTAAATTTAAGAAGCCTAAATGCCACTTAAGACCTACTATTCCTACTACAAATGTTACAAAATTAGAATGATTCAGCTATACTTTTAGAGTTTTTCCTACACAAATGGTACAAACGACTCTCACTATGCTCACAGTGAACTCAAGAGAAAATACATTTTCCTGTTCTGGAGTTGACTGACGTCTCGGTTGGATTAGATCGACTTCACTTTCTCCTTTCTTCTTCAGACGGTTGCGGCTGGATAAAAAGCACAGCAGGTATATTAATAACACTGATACCATGCTGCAGTAAATAAACCTTTAGCTGCACAAGGTATTCCCAAGTCGAGTAATGATGTGAAAAAATCTTACTTACACCCTTCACTGGTTACATGAAAAGTTAGGTTTGCTGTTTGTTTGATCATTTCTTTCAAATGCTGAATTCTTACACGAGCAGTATTGACTTGACCTTTAGCTCTTCTACCTCCTTACCTCCTTGTCTCTTTCTTTATTTGATTTGGCACTGCATGTTCATGTCAATGAAATGTAAACAGATAGCCACACATGATATAAAAGTAGAGTCAGTAGCATGTTTGTTGCAGACTGTGAACACAATATTCCAATTGGGCCCCTCCTCCTGGGCTCATCGCCACCAGAAGAGAACGCCTCCTGCAGAACTTGGCGAGTAAGTTCACTGCTATACGTACACTGCAAGCGAATATAATGTTTGTTGTGACGGGAAACGCTGATAATTCAGCAAGCTAACCTCCGGTGTTTGGCACCTGCCTGTCCAACAGCCCAACTCCGCATCCGCTGGATGAAAGCCAACACAAGGTTCAACCCCCGTTTTGGAACGGAGCTTAAGCCGCTTTATGGTTTGCCTTCACTTTGATTATATTTTTTCTACTTTGCTTGTTGGTCCGAAATATTTGCCGGTTTGAATGGCATCCAATTGCTGAATTGGATCCTCTCCCAAGTTCCCTTGGGTGCTGTCTTCGGCTGGGGGAAACAAGTCCACTCCCCACCCAGAAACATCCCGAAACAATCAGAATATCAAAATACAAAATACAAGTGATAAGTGATGATTGAGCATCATTACTTTTGTATAAGTCTATATATACTGTATATATTTATCTTGTATTTTTAGGAAGAAGCTACTGACCCATCTTAAAATGTAAAAAAAAAACATTCTTGGCTTTGTGTCATTCACCAAATACCAAAGATATTTCTCATAAAAGTCAACAGAACTATAGAGGAACCTGTCAACTGTCCCCAGAGTGACTTTGATGGGAAAGTGGGTGTTTCAGACTAAAAATAGTCTTGTGTTGAAAAAAACAACGACACATAGGTTATATTAGTGTGGGCATGGTACAGGTAATGGTGAAAGGATGGAAAACACAGCTCTGTCTGAGTCAAGAGTTTGAGAGCTTAACAGAAGCCAGCACACTGCAAAGTGGTCTATAAAACTACGAGGTTGGATTTCACATTTTGAAGATTTACTGTTTCAAAGGAGAAAAATCACCTCAAAATGACCCTAGTTTAAATAAATAAAGCTACAGGAAATCATGTTTGATATTCTCAGAGATTAAATAAACTCATAGGGAAAGTAAAAAAAAAACTAGGAGGAAATCAATTTGAATATTCTTTAAGATCATTACATCATAAAAGCTGCTGGGAGTGTGAACTTGCCAGAAAACCGAACATGTTGTGAAAAAAGTTCAACTATTTGCTGATGATGTTGTGTTGTGTTTGTTTATTTATTTGAAGGAAGGCTTTGTTGGCCCTTGAAATCACATTCATTGTAACACTTCTCTGCCTGCTCCCCTCACACTTTCTTCACAAACTTCTCCCTCGAGCTCTTCGTCTCACTCACTTTTTGTGCGTACAAACGAGTGAAACACAGCAGATGCCTTTAGGGAGTCCAAAAATGTGTGCCATTAGCTTTATTTCAATGCGTCATTGCGTCTCAGCTCCTCTCGCCTTCAGACATGTTCACACCATCCAGTTCATCCAATCGCTGGAGTTCACTTATGTGAACGTCAGAACCTTCACTGATGAACATTTTCTGGAAGTACTTGAATCTAGTTTTTCAACAGTGTTACAATGGAACCTAAATGGTGAAAAGGTTATGTTTGAATTTAATGATATATGATTAATTTTGGTACTGCTCACAAAGTACAGCTGCCCTAACTCTTGTTATTTACATTTAATTTCCAGGGGTGCTGGTGGCACAGTGGTGCAGTGGTTGGTCACGCTCACTCCATGTGTGGAGGCTGTGGTCCCTCAAGTGGCCGGCCCAGGCTCCTTTCCTGCATCTCATTCCCCACTCTCTCTCTCTCTCCCTCATTTCCAATTATATCCACTGTCCTATCTCTCCATTAAAGGCACAGAAAGTCCAAAAATAAATCTTTAAAAATTAACAAAATTAAAAACTTAATTTCCAGACTTCATCTTCCATTTGAATATTTTCATTTACAAGAGAACTTCATCAAACTCAAACTTGACATTTTGATTTGAGCGCTTCCTTTGTATGATGTCGTTCATTGAACATATTACTTTCTCTCCCTTTTTTTTCTGTCTCCCTTTTCTTCTCTCTTTTTAATTTAATTTTTTTATTTCACATGTCCGAAAAAAACTTCAAAATTCACTCTGACGTCTGATCCACACAATCACATTCCCATTCACTCTTCATCAAGCTAGCTGGGGTTTTTTTTTTGCATTTTTTTTGTACACTTAACATGTAGCTTTTAAATGAATAAAACTGCGTACAATTGATGTTTTCATAACCTAAAGATCATTAAAGACATTCTGTTGACAAATGTGCGAGCTGCTGATAACCTTTTATTAAGTACAGCTTGATCATCACTTCAAGTTGAACAATTTCCTCTTTGAAATGAATAAATCAAAGCAACAATATAAGGCCATTTAAAGCATGAGCTGCAGTATTTTGATTGCATTTTGAATTGCCTTGTAAGTAGCCTACTATTTATAAATACGCCACCATTACAACAGCAAGCCAAGCACAGCCTAATTGTGCAGTAAGTAAATGTTGCCTCCTTGAATTAACTGAGCCAGAGGCACTGTGATACACTCAGGAGGCGTACTTAGATGCTGAGCTCATTCCTGTTGTCACAGTGACAATTTGTACAAAATTCTGCCTTACTTTTTATTCTCAAGATTGATAAAAAGAAATCATCCAGGCATTTATCATTGATGTGTATAATGTGGAACATAAGTAAAAAATGTCAAATGCTACATGTGAAGTTTGTAAGGAAGTAACAGTTTATATATATAGCACCTTTCAAGAGCAGATGTCACAAAGTGCTTCACAATAAAACAATAACAGATTACAAACAGTCACATAAAATTAAATACAGACACATCAAACGGAGGGAAGTCTGAACAAATGGGTCCTTAGCTGCTTTTTTAAAAGTGTCCACAGCCTCAAAGGCACAGTCTCCTTTGGTTTTTAGGCTTTTAGCGAGGAACATGCAGCAGAACTTGGTCAGAGGAACCTCAGGGAGCTGCTGGTACTATAAGGCCTCAGCAGCTCAGTAACATAAGCTTCACCATGCGAGGCTCTAAACACAAAAATAAGAACATGATCTGCTGCTCTATCCACACATGTATTGTTGTTAGTTGTTGTGTACAGTTATTTATCAGAATCAGAATCAGAAATACTTTATTAATCCCAGGGGCAAATTTGTTTGCTACAGTTGCTCACCAAAAATCAGTAGGAAGTTCAGATAAGTTCACAATATAAAATAAAAATAGTATAACAATATAATAAGCATAAGTACCAAGTGAAAGTAATAATAAAGTAGTATAAGTAATAAGCTATGTTCAAGCACAGGCAATTGAAAATATAAACA